ATACAAAGGAAAATCGACTTCACTATAAAACATAAATTTGCATATTGAGAAAACTCTTCCATATAATTGGTTCTACAACCCCTTTATTTTCAATATCAAACTTTTACTGATCTATAAAATGAAATGCTTATTTTCAACTTGCACTACTCTCTAACTAATCTTACTACCTCCAAACTCAAATTTCAAGAAATCCAAGCTCTACAACTATTTAACGCTTTTCTATTTTGTTCCTTCAAAAATTCTATTAAAACACATACACCTAATACCACACTTCACACTATTCAACTTGCCCATAAATACAAAATTCAATTCTGTAACACATCATCCTGTAATCACAAACTCACAGGAGGAACTACACCACTTTACGATCTCATATGGGACTCAAACTGGTCCTATACCTCAAAACTTCTCTCCAAACACCAAATCTATTATCTCGAACAACTCTTTGTTTTTCAAAGCAATCAACTTACTGAATGGCATCACATAGCCAGCCATATAGGAAAAAATCTTCAAGGAAAAATACCACAATGGTACAAAAAACTTAAACATCTCACTTTAAAAAGTCTAGGCTCAACAAATATTCAAAACAATTATCAAAAAAACAAAAAAAGAAACTGGGAAGCAATTAAAATATCCAACACAACTATAATTGAAAAAAAACAAAAACCATTTCTAGAAATAAAATTATTATCAATTATTATCTATATCCTCCAATGAACTATCTTGACAGATTCCTGACTCTTACCAAATGCACTGGTTGTTCCTTCAACCAAACTTCAACCTTACACTTCTGTTAACTTCAAATAAACAAAACAAACTCTATCCTACTTCATATTTTTGTCCAACAAAAGTCATATAAAACTTGTTCCACTCTCAGAGATATAACCAATTCAACCAAATATAAAATCCTTTTATCCACTTACAACATTCCTATTATCTCTATCCCCTCAACACCACAACAATTTCTCATTAAAAAAACCTTCAAACCACAATCACACCAGAACTTAATTCCTAACTGCTCAATCAAAACAAATGAAAAATCCTTTTACCTTTCAATCGAAACAAACCAAAACAAAACCAACATTAAATAGACTGATCTCTCTGAAATAACAACTTACACATGCAAACTTCAATACAACTCAATCTCATCTCTTATTCTTACTATCCAAACAATTCTCATTATGAAACCTTCAACAACAGCAATCTTTTTTCTAAAAAACTACAAAATAAGCAAAACCATATTCTTTTCCAACTCAAAAAACTACTGTACCAACTACAAAACACCATACAAAGATATAATTAACAATCTTAAATAAACAATTCAATTTTTACAAACCCACTGCACTTTCTACAAATCACCTCGCAATTAATTACCACAACACAACAACATAACCACCCAAATAAACTTACTTTTTAACTCACAACTGTCCCAATATATTTTAACTAACTATTCCAGATTACCACTTCCCTCCATTCGCAAGTACACAAAAAAAATCAATCACCTTTATAGAACTTTCAACATATTAAATTCAAAAAGAATCTAAACAACATTTCAATCCAACTTTCAAAATCTTTCCTATATCCTAAAATTTCTTAAATCAATATCAATTCCTATAAACACTTATGAATCTGCTATTTACAACTTCCGTTTCAAAATTATCTAACAAAATCTTTCCATAAGATCCTACCTACATATTACCAAACCTTATTTATACTCAAACAATCTTTGCCTACGTTGCAACACTACAGAAGAAACCATTAATCATATCTGGACTTGTCCTATCAACAATAATATCCTAAAGACAATTACCTTTTCAATACATCAAATTATTAAAGAAACAATCCACAACTTTCCTGAACACAATCTACATTACTTTAACAATATCCAAAATACAACTCAATAGCTATCGGTCTCACCTCCCTATCAACTATAACACCAAACCAAAAATCCATTTCAATCTTTAAACACATACAAATCTTTAATAAACTTCTTGAATTATTATATAACAACATATGGAAACCCAGAAACGAGGACATAATCCTTCAGGAAAAAATCCTCAGCATCACTTCTCACCAAAAAAAATTAACAAAAACAATTACATCAACTTCCAACAAACTACCCACTAACACAACAACAATAACAAAACAAAACAACAACAATTATAACTGAAACTCCAATATACTTTTCCCAAACATTTTTTCCAACTGTATTTTACTAACTGAAAACTTGTTTTCATCAGATCTGGATGAAAAATTAAATTATTAGGGAGGCATTGACCCCTAATTCAGTAAATGGTTACTTGTAAAATTTTGTCAAATTAAGGTTTTTATAGAATATATTTACTTATAGGCAGATCGAAATTTATAGCAACATATTTCAAAGTATCACTATTATTGTAAATTTTATACTAAGCTTTTCTCTGTAAAAATTAAATTAACAATTAATAAAGATTACAATTTGAGAAGTGCCTCGCAAAAAAAAAATAATAATAAATAAATTGTATAAGTTTGATTTCAAGTAATTAATTTAATAATTTTTTTTTATAATATTTGATATTTTTTCAAGTTTTAAAATATAAAAATAATGTTATTCTAGTTTAACAAGAAGTTCTTTTTAATAGTGAATATTCTAAAAAAAATAATATAAATTCTGGATAACAAAATACTTTAAAAAAAATTCTATACTCTAATTGATTATAATAAATGTTTCTTAAATATTCTTAATTATTGTTTAAAATAGTTATAATAAATATTTTTTACTATTACTCAGAATAGCTATAATAAATATTTTTTAATATTTTTGATTATTATTTAGAATAACAAAATAAATAGTAATATCTAATTGCAAATAATGACAAAAAGTAATTTCTAATGAATTTGAAATTTAAAAAAAAATCTTGTTTGTTAAAAATAGTATTATTTCTTGCTTTTGATTTTATTTTATTTAATATAATATAAAATTAAAAATAAAATCTTAATAATTTATCAAATAAATAAAAATTCATCAATGATATTTAGATATATTAGTTTTATAATAAAAAAGCAACAGATATATAAGATAGACTTTATTATAAAGTTTTATTAGTATTATATATAAAAAAATAAACAATAAAATAGTTTTATAAATTTAAAAATATATACTGTATATTATTTAATAAATTTAATAAAGTAGATTTTAATAGTATTGAAAACAAAATTTTTTATTTAAATAATCAATACTTAATATTTAACAAGTAATTAAATTAATATATAAAATTATAAATAATTTTTTTTATATTTAGTATCAATAAATAAATCAAAGTACCGATTTAATTTTTTGATTTAATTTTATAATTTAGTTAAAATATAATAAAACAAATATTTTATTATTTACAATATTAGTGAATTAAAAATCTTAATTAAAAAAAGATTTTAATAAAATTAAATTAAAAACTTGCAATATTATCAATTTAATATATTCTTATAATAGTATGATAATTTTATGTTTTATTATTAAAATTTTATTTTTTATAATTTTAAATAGATTTTTATAATTGCTTAATATTATTTAACTATCATACTGATTTTAAATTTCTTATTTAATCTATTACAAATACATAGGGCTCCGAAAAAGTACCAAACTGGTATCAAACTGGTATCGAAATGGTACTGATCTATAGTAAATTTAATATATGGGTTGTGACCTATCCATATGTTTTTATAATAAATTTAAGTATTGAAGTGGTATCGAAGTGGTATCATTAAGAGCCCTACAAATACATATAAGAGATATTGTTTCTTTTCAAAAAATATATATAATAATATAGGAATATATAAAAAATGCTATTTATTTACTTATAATAATAATAATAATAATAATAAAATTATTTAAAAAAATTGATTATAAAAAATCAAATCTATTGTTTTTTTTAATTGTTTAAATCTATTATAATCTCATTTATAATACAAGAAAGAAATTAAATAATAATTGATTTAAATAAAATGTGCTACAAGTTTTGAACAATTTGAACAATTTGTATATTTAAGATTAAAAAAATCATGTATATGGGAAACTTTTAAGTAATAAATAGGAAAGATGAAATAACTCAATAAATAATTACGCTTTTGTCAATTATTTAAATATCTTATCAAGTCAATTGCCAATAAATTTGAATATAATTGTAGGATTTGACATTTATTATTCTTTTTGACTTTTTTATCATGTTTATATAACTACTTAAATATGATATTCGATAATTTTTTTAATCAAATAATATTACTTTAGAGAAACCCCAAAAGAAATAACATTATGGCAAGAGTCGTTGAATAATTATTGTTAGAGATTTATTGTGGTGACACAGTGGTTATATAAGGTAAAAAGAGTGTGGATTTGACATGTGATTTTGTGGTAATTATTTTAAGGATAAATATTTGTTAGAAAGTCAGGAAATATTGGAATTTAAACGCGACATTCGTCACGTGATCGACAGCCTTGACGGGCACCGCGAGAAACATGTTCTCGGTTGGCAGTACACAATTATCTAATTATTAGGAAAGAATGAAAGGGATTGTGAAAAATAATTATGTAAGTTAGACATAGCTTCACCAAATCTTCTATTGCTCTTATAAAAATAGCCGCTATAAACAAAAAGAAGTATAAAAATGATAATTAAAGGTTAATAAAGGAATAACAACAATAACAACCCAATTTGTACAAAAAATACTCGACCAAATCAACACGCTTCATCATCTTTTAATCAAACTCACCCTTTCTGCAGTTACGCGAAGTCTTGCCATCCTTAGCGACAGACTCGCCGTTCATTCCCTTTATACACAGGTGTTGTATTCGTTTTGGAGGCCGTTGTGGCGTTAGTACTGTTGATTATTATTTCTAAAAAAACATCAAAATTTATTAATTCTGATTATATTATATTCTTTGATATCGTAACTTTATTAATAATACAGTATAATAAATAATTACAGTATATTCCGTAACGTAATATTCAATTTGAGTAGGTAATCTATACTACGATACTACAACTAAAAGATATTCCAATAATTAATAAGCTCACTATCACACCGACAAACATTTCTTTTCTACAATTAAGTTTATCGCTTCCTCCTGAAGCTACATTTTGAGCTTCAATATTGGCCGCGATAGCTGTTACATAAACAATTTTCAACACAGTACTTGGTGGAACATATTTTTTGGATGATGTCGCAATTCCATCAGAAGTTGTATATATGGTAGTTGTATAACCCGGGAAGATTACTGTAATAGTGGATTGATATGTGGTAGTGACATATTTAGTAGTGGTAGGATGAATTTTGGAGTCGGTGATAGTCGGTGTTATCGTTGTCATTGGGGCAGTATCACCATCGGTTTGACTGGGCATTATGGTAGTGGTTATTATTTGTCCTGTCATACCCCTATGAGTTTATTTATCAAAGAATCAGCAATCAAATTAAATATGAAAAAGAAAAGCGTAAATAACCTACGTTGAAGTATCCATTTGGCAATCAGTGTCGCTACAAACGTTTTCAGTTGTGGTTGTTTGAGATGGAGGTGGAGGAGGGGAAATAATAACAGTAGAGGTTGTGATGGATTCTGTGATGAAGCGGATAAAGTTTCGGAATCAGATTTGAGAAAAGTAGAAGGTATGTTAGAAGGGTAGATGTTTCGGATATGAAAGTGGTGAACAAAATTAGACGGCTAACAAATTTTATAAAGTACCGGTACTTGATGTTGACGTCGATGTGGACGTTCTTCTAGTCGTCTCTGACTCTGTTAATTCGATCTGGCTAGTTACGAATGAAAATGTTATTTGCGTTTTTGAAGCCTTGCAAAATTGTAGTTAATACTTGCCTTGGTTCGGAGGTACCTGAATCGGTCGAGCTAGTTACAAACATAGTTGTTATTCGTGTTTTAAATTAGACGTGCCTTTTACATTGTGATTATACTTGCCTCGGTGTGCGACTACCTAAATCGGTCGGACTGATAACAAATGTAGTTGTTATTTGCGTTGTCGAAGCTAGTTAGCTTTCTACATTATGATACTTGCCTTGGTATGGAAGTGCCTGAATCAGTCGAGCTAATTACAAATGTGAGAGTTATGTGTTGTCGATGCGGATGTGCCTGGTATAATTATAGTTGATACTTGCCTCGGTGTGGGAGCACCTGAATCGATCGGACTAGTTACAAACATAATTTTAATTGCATTGTCAAAGTAGATGCGCTTATTACTATTTGTAATTTGATACTTACTTTGCTGTAGAAGTTTCTAATGCGTTCGGGCTAGTTACAAATGTAATTATCATTTGAGTTATTAAAACAGACATGTTTTCTACAATTGTAGTTGATACTTGCCTAGTTTGCGCGGGAGTTCCTGAATCGGTCGGGCTAGTTACAAATGCGGTTATTATTTGTATTTTCGAAGCAAACTTGATTAGTACAATTTTAGATGATACTTGCCTTGGTATGGGAGTGCTGGAATCGGTCGATCTAGTTACAAATGAAATTCCCATTTGCATTATTAAAACAGACCGCTTTCTGCAATTAGAGTTAATACTTGCCTAGTTTGCACGGGGGTGTTTGGTGCGGAAATGCTAGTTACAAATGTGGTTGTTATTTGTGTTGTTGACATGCTTGCTACAATTGTTGTTGATACTTACGAATTCTCAACAGTTGTAGCCCCAGCCTGTGTTGGTGTATTTCCTGAATCCAAAGTTCCTGCTTGTCGTCTTATTACATCATTGACTATAGACGCCGCGTTAATGGTTGCATGCAAAGTGCTTAAAATCAATAAGGAAATTACAAAGGTGGTTTTTTTTGTGTATTTCATTTTTTAATTTTCCAATCTTATAAAGGTTAAACTCAGACGAGATTTGGAGATTCAAGGAGTTTAAAAGTATGTGGTTTTCGTAGTACAAAAAAATAGTGACGGAACAATCAGTTACAAGTCTGATGTTTCGCGACCATTCACTTTTTCTTTTAGGTTCTTATCTAAACTTAACGTTTAAATTTTTATGTATTCCTTATTATTAACGTTTTCCAAATGAAACCTTATTGGATCGGGGAAACCTTCAAAAGGCAGTTTCAGAATGCAGAAGTAGCAGTCAACGATTTCCAATACCGTACCGCACGTACTTCAAAATGCGAAAGTGTAATCATGTACTAACCTCTAACATTACTGTACAGTACAGCATCATTCTAGAATTCCATTTATTTTCAATATGATATGATAATTGTTGGATCTCCATATATGGAACTATTACGTATTTACAATTGATTGTTTTTGGAATGGCGAAATGCTGTACCGGGGACAATCGTATGCCTAAAAATAGACAAATTTGAATTTTTTGTAATCATCTGTAATAAAGATTCCTAGGTTTCATATCTTAGCGGCCCGTTCCAATATGCACGAGAAACGTATGCTCAATAATAATGAATGAAAATTCACCTGCGAAAACGATAATCTGAAACGAGATTTGTTATCAACTTTTTTTTTTATTATTGACATACTGTAAATAAAATAAAATTAAAATAAAAATTACAATATTATCAATAGACGATTCTTCGGTACCAGATTGATATGCTTTTAACCTTAGAATCACTTCAACTCATAAATCAATAATTGCGCCACGCTGACACTTTTATAAAGTTATTTCGTTAATAATTTCACTAGGTTCTTGTCATCTCTTCAAAGGAGATCTCAACACCTGATTCTGAAACTTAAAAAAGAACTACTCTTTGTTGATTGAAATGTACGACGAATCCGTTGCAAAATCTCACGATACAACAAAATATTTGGTCCTCCCAGTGTAACCTCAAGCATATTGTTTGTGACAACAATTACACCGATTCTTTTATTTCGTTTTATGATCACACTCCAGAAAGCAATCCGAATCCCTGTACTGTGAATAGTTAAAACGTGTTGGCGGATACGATTTAGTTCATATAATTTGGACATAAAGTATCATTCAAAATTTGATGTGTGGTTCTTTCGTCTTGGTGATAATAAACGACATTTTAAATTTAACCCAAAATTTAAAGTTTTTAATTCTTGCAAGGTTACACGTTTACGACATGAATTTGTTGTTTGTGTGATTATGAGTATGACGAAAATGGGGTTTTCGTTGACGCACCTTTTGTTTTTGTATTCAACATACATTAAAAAATCATATTTATTACTTATTAAAAGTTTATGATTATATTTATATCCCTAAAATCTCTTTTATCCTAAGCTTTTATCTCTTATGTTCCTAATATCCTAAAAATCTCAGGTATCTCTTTATCTTTCACGGATCCAATTATAATATAATGGAATCATCGCATTATTACTGTTGCACTACATCACTCTTCTATCTTTCTACAACAGTTAACAATAATTATTCTTTCTCAAATAATTATACTTGATATATTTTCAATCCAATTTATATTAACAAACCTAAACTTGATTTCTTCTTTTTATTTATAAAATATTTCAAACAAATAAATCTTGATATAATAGTATTTGAATAAGTAAAAATTATGCTTTAGCATTTTTCACTTTAAAAAAAACCTCTCCTGTTTAATAAATATGATTTTTATTAAATAATAAGTAAAAAATATTTTTTAAATCTATTTGCATATACAATATATCAATAGTTATTAACATATTTTTTATTCAAACCATACAATATTAATTCAAACTATTTAACTTTTATTTCAAAATTATATTTAATATAGTACTTTTAGTAGATATATATATTTACTTATTTATTTTTTGATTTTTTTTTATAGATAAATATCATTTCATTATTTATTCATATATTATAAGGTACATACTGTATTTAGTAAAAACAACATTACTTGTGTACAAAGCATATAACAAGCTAAATACTAGCTTACCTACTAATACTATAAATAGCTAATACTAAAAAGAAAATTTTAAAACAACATTATTGTTAGATATAGATCAAGTAATAGCTGTATTTATCCACTTAGAAAAAAAACTTTTAAGTCAAAAAAAAATTTAAAATAAAAAAATAAAGATATCTAAAACTAAAACAAAATCAAATAAACTATAAAATCTATAAGAAAAAAATTATATTTTCAAGATAACCTCTAATCAGGCTCATTGTCCTGTCCTTTTGGTTTTTTTTGACTTGTAAATATAATTTTTGTTAATACAAATAATAAAATACATATGATTTAATTTGTTTTTTTTTTAAAATATTAAGTGAAAAATTTCTTATAATCTTTATTAATTAAGTAAAATGTTAAATAATTGATTTTGAGATTTTGAGATACATTTCTATATATGTTAGCCTATCATCATATAGATATATTTTGATAAAAAACCTTTTTTAAAAAGGAAAACAAAAGAAACTATTTATTTCTAAAGAGTCAATGCCTTCTTAATAATTTATTCTATTATAAAAAAATATTAATAGATCTTTAAAAAAAGTTTTAATAATGATATTGATAAGTTTGTTTAAGTTTGAATTAAAGGAGTTATTATTTGAAATAGATTTTTTTTTGGTTTTGTTATTGTTCACAAGTGTTTGTTTATTCTTTTTGAGTTTGTCTACATGAAAAATATTAAAAATTTCTTTTTTTTCAATCATATTTTTGTTTTTAAAATTCAAATTTCAAGATAAATATAATTAAAAAGTTTATTTTAGAGTTTGTTTAATAGTTTTAGATCTTTTGATAAAAGTTGAAAGTTATTGAAGCAGAAATAAAAATTTAAAAGGCCAAGAGCTAGATTTGTATATAAGAGAAAAAAGTTGATAGGTTGTTTGAAGAATTTTAAATTCAAGTTTTTGTTGTTTTTAAAAAAAAAAGTGGCTTGTGTGATAGTATTGTTGATAATTTGATATATAGTTGAATTGATTTCTTTATAAAATCAGATATCGTATATTGTTTCTGGAACTAAATTGTATTATAAACAGATATTGTTAGTATAAAGATGAGATAAAGTAGAGTGTAAGTAGGATTTAATTGATATTATATTAAAAAGAATTTTAAGATGAAAATTATAGAGTTTAGATTATGATTAAGTAGTTAAAAGTAATGTTTTTTTGAAAAAAATGAAAAAGTATAATAAAAGAGAAAAATCAGATTTAAAAGTAGTTTTTGCTTTTTTCAAATGGATAATATTAATAAGTCTAATTGTTTTAATTGTTTTTTTGATAAAGTCACAAGTAGGAAGTAAATAATTGTTTTGTGTATTTAGTAAAGTATAAAAGAGAGAGAAGGAATTAATTATATTAAATTGAAAAATAATTATGTCAGTTAGTTGAAATTTATTCATTGCTGAAGTGGGTTTGTAAAAGAAGCAAAATATTTGTAATGTTTGGATAATATTATAAATATTGCTAATAATAGTAGCATATAGAAGTTTGTATCTTTTTTGGTAATTGGTAGAAAGTAAAAATAACAATTGTTAGAAATTTTTAAATGTTTGCAAAAGAATATAAGTTAGTTAGTTTTATTAATAAGAAGTATTATTATTATAAAATAATATAAGAATAGAAGAAAAGAAAGAGAGAAATTGGTTGTAAATAATTTGTTTAGTTGAAAAATGTTTCATGTAATGGTTGTTATATTTGAGAGATATTTATAAGTTAAAATAATTTCAGAATTAAAGACTGAGAGAAATTCAATTTGTATAACAAATTTATAGATATTCAACAAAAATTCTAATTTTCTTCAAAAAGTCAAATAACAATCTCTTAAACAATCTTAAGAGACTATAGGTATTTTGATGAAAGGAACATCTTTTATTAATGGTCAAAAAACATTGTCAACACTGATTTCTTAATAATCAAGGATTTAAACATCTAGCCAAAGAATATTAATAATTATATATCTGAAGTTACATAATATCTGCCAATTATGAAGCTCTGGAATGATGTGAAACCTGAAACTTATAGTAATTATTAATTTAATATAATTTTACTAATTAACATGTTAAAAAAAAAACTCTTCCCATCAATTAATTTTTCACTTGAAATTTCCTTATTTAATAATAATTTTCCAAGAAATACTTTTTCTCTCAGCACTTTCAAATACACTTAACTATTAACTAACTCCCAACATAGAGTACCCCACAACAAACAGCAACAAAAAACAATTTCTACATGCTACTATTCATTAGAATTGGAACCAACTCTTCCAAATTTACTTTCTCGACATTAACAATAATACAATTAACAAAACAGAATTTGCAAGATCTCTTTTCATTACCAACCTTACAAACTTCTTTAATCAATTTTTCATTGTAAAAAAAGGAAAAAACATTAAGAAAATTATTAAAGTAGGCATTACAAATGATATTTGTATTCTCAACTTTACAATAGAAATGATAAAAAAAAAGGATCAAGGAAAACTTCCTCAAATTCATATCTCAATCTCCAATACCAGAAACACTTCTTTCAACTTCCAATATATCAGCAATATAGCAAAAAAAATGAAAAAAATTCAACTCAATACTGAACTTTATAATTACTTTTAAGAATTTCTCACTCTTTTCCAAGAAATTGCAAAAAATTCCAGTCAACTTACTCCTGAAAATAATCATCCGCCTATCACCTCTCCTGTTCCTCAAAAAAGAAATATTGATCAAACATCTACAATGCATGTACATGCAAATCTCTTGTCTATTATTTCTTCTCTCTCCCAAATTGGCAACCCCATAGAAATCAATGAAACATATGATGAACCAATAAAACTCTCTAACCTTGATCTATCAAATTCTAAAAATAATAACTTAACAAGTACCTCGGTACTATCTTTTATCCCCACAAACTTTTTTTCCAGTTTCAATATGGAAATCAGTACCATATACCCAACCAA